AGCCTCCCAAATAGTTGGGACCACAGGTGCCTGCCACAGCACCTGGCTATTTTTTGGTTGCAGCCACCATTGTTGTTTGGCGGGCCCAGGCTGGATTCGAACCCGCCATCTTAGGTTTATGTGGCTGGCGCCTTAGCCACTCGAGTCACAGGCACCGAGCCAATTTCTACCTTTTCTTTCATTCTATTTATCTTATTTGCAATCCATATTCTGAATTTGATTTCTGACATTGCTGCCATTTGTCTGTGCATGGCATCTTCAGTTGCATCTCCTTTATCATTTTTTGGTGGGGTTGATCTGCTTTGGTTATTCATATTCACCAGAGTTCTTCTGTTGGGTCCACACCATGTTCATTTTCCACCATTTGGTTATTAGAACTGGTAGGGTGAAATTGAATTGGGGTTCCCAGGTAGTAGAGATAGCTACTTACCAAAGCGCTAGGTTTTGTCATTGTGGCTTATTTCCTACAACCTTACATAGGCCCCTTTCCGAGTTTTGGCTGGAGACTCTGAGGACCTACTTTGTGAGACAGGATAAGCTAGCTCTGTTTTGGTATCAGCCAACCTCTACCCTATCCTAAAAAACCGTAGGGTTTAGGCTTAAATTTTGACTGTGAAGAGATACAAACAGCTGTGGCACCCAGCCCCACCGTTCAGTTCTTTTCTGCTACAGAACTTCGAAGGTCAACCTCAGAATGTCCCCGAGTGGATGGACCTAGACACTGGTTCCAATTAAATTATCTCAGGCAGTGCAAACCCTCAGCAGTGCTCAACAGAAAGGGATTCAAGGGTCTCCAACAGAACAACTGGAGCTAGGGATCCACACTCCCACCCACCAGACTCATTCCAAACTGTTGTCCGCTTCTCTGCTCACAGGCCCAGTTGGAGCCACACCCCTGTCCACCAGTCTCAGTCCACACCCAACTAGCCTCTGCTCGCCAGACCAGTTGGAGTCAGGGGAGTCTCAGTCGACTGCCTGGCAAGCCTCTGTTTGCAGGCTCAGTTGGAGTCAGGGCACCAGGCCCTGCACTCTGGTTTCAGTCCACACCCAGCTGCTTCTGTTTGCCAGACCATTTGGAGTCAGGGGACCACACCTCCACCTGCCAGTCTCAGTCCACTGCCTAGTAAGCCTCTGTTCACAGGCTCTGTTAGAGTCAGGGCACCGCACTCTACCCGTAGGTCTCAGTCCTTACCCCATAAGCCTCTGCTCACCAGCCCCACTGAGAGAGGGGACCATGCCCTAGCCCTCAGGTCTTGGTTCACATCCAGTAAGCCACTGCTCAAAGGTTCTATTGGAATCAGGGGGCCACAGCCTTGCTCTCAGGTCTTAGTCCATGCCTAGCAAGCCTCTGCTTGCAGGCCCAGTAGGGGGTGGGGACCAGGCCTGTCTGCTGAACTCAGTCCACAAGAGGCAACCATTTTCCCACTGTGGGTACCCTCACAGCTGGGGGTTCTGCATTCCAGACTACCAGACATAGCCTGAACCACAGTCAACACTACCACTGGCCAGGCATAGTCATAACCAGGGGACTACTCCTCCTCCTATCAAGTGTCCCTTTCTTCTCACACCCTCTTTCTTCCCTGTTAGTCATAGATTCCATCCTGGTGGTTGGCGGTCCACACTATGCCCAGATCTCTCAGGACAAGATCAAACACTCTGTGTTCTGCAGGGTGCAGAACTTCAGACTGCCATGTGAAGGGGAGAGGGCGGACTGGGAGTTTGGACTTGTGGGGAAAATATCTGTTCAATTTTATGCCTGGCAGGGTGGTGTCTAGGTTCATTAAGTGGGACCTCCCTGAAGGAAGAGACCTGGAGTTTAGTGGCTCTCTCCAGAGAGGTAAAATGAGAGGTCTTTTGTTCCCTGCTCATTGGCAGATAGCCTGCAGCAGGCTTCCTGCTTGGGGAAGGGGATCTCCCATCCTCTAGTTGATTAGGCTTTGTACCTGTAATTTGTTTTCTTGAATGCTCATCCTTGGAATTACAGCTTGCTGAACTTCTTTCTTGGCTCAGCTCCCCACCTTTAGCTTCATAGAGTCTGAATCCATCCAGTCTTTCTTCTTCTCAGGAGCCTCTGCTGGCGAGTTGGCCATCTTCCCAGAATTCCCCTACTTTTTGTTTTTACAGTTACAGATTCACTGAGGAATGTTATGTTATTTTTTTAAAAAATGTCTTTCTTCCACAGACACCATGATGACATCTTTCCTTTTTTTTTTTTTTTCCTTTGAGGCAAGGTCTCACTCTGTATCACCCAGGGTAGAATGCAGTGGTGAGATCTTAGTTCACTGTAACCTCCAAACTCAAATGATCTTCTCACTTAGCTAGGACTACAAGTGTGTGGCAACATACCCAGTTAACTTTTTTAGGGGATAGGGTCTCACTGTGTTGCCCAGGCTGGGCTCAAACTTGTGGCCTCAAGGGATCCTATCACCCTCAGCCTCCCAAAGTGCTGGATAATATGCATGAGTGACTGTATGAGCCACTATACCCAGTTATAATTTTTAAATAAATGTAGAGAACATCCAAACATGTTTCGAAGACATAGATTTTTAACATTTGTAACCCACTGATACAGAGCCTTGCTATGCAAAGTATGATCTGAGGAACAGCATCATCACCACCTGGCTGCATATGGAGAAGAGGACCTTAAGCCACACCAGACAGACCTACTAAATCAAAATATGTATTTAACAAGACCTTCAAGTAATTATGCACAATAGTTAACACTCACATCTTCACACAACTCAGAATAACATGGAGGGTTTGTGAACACAGATTCTGGGTACCATCTCCAGAGATTTTTGATTCAGTACACTTGGAGTAAGACCCAAGAATTTGTATTTTTAACATATTCTCAAGTGCTGCTGCTGATCAGGGGACATCACTTAGGTAATCACTGTTCTAGAAGAATTAAGAATGACTTCAGAGCTTTCATAAAACTGAAATTTACCCCAAACCTGTGTATGTTCACGAATATAAATTTCTAGAGCAAAAAAATTCATCAAATTCTCACAAAATCCTGAGGTATATAAATTCAAGGACTACAACCTGACAAAGTAATTTCCATCCATTATTCCACAGACCAGGGTTTGACTTTCACGTTACATATAAAGAATTTTTTTTCTCTTTTAGAAAACTTTTATAATACGGAAAATTTAAAGCATATATAAAAGTTAAAAAAAACTTTCGTGATAAAAATCTATCACCCAATTTTATCCACATCCCTAAACTTTTTTTTTTTTTTTTTGCAAGAGTCTCACTTTGTCACCTTTAGTAGAGTGCCCTGGCGTCACACTCACAGCAACCTCTAACTCTTACCTCAGCCTCCAGCGCAGCTGGGACTACAATTGCCCACAATGCCCAGCTATTTTTAGAGATCGAGTCTTGCTCTAGTTCAGGCTGGTCTTGAACTTGTGAGCTCAGGCAATCTGCCCACCTCAGCCTCCCAAACTGCTGGGATTATAGGTGTGAGCCATGGTGCCTGGCCTTCTGTCATTTTTAATTTGATCCAAAAGTTATTTTAATATAAAGCACAACCACAATATCCATAATTACTGTTAAAAAAAAATTAACAGGCTCAGTGCCTGTGGCTCAAGCGGCTAAGGCGCCAGCCACATACACCTGAGCTGGCGGGTTCGAATCCAGCCTGGGCCTGCCAAACAACAATGACGGCTGTAACCAAAAAATAGCCGGGTGTTGTAGCGGGTGCCTGCGGTCCCAGCTACTTCGGAGGCAGAGGCAGGAGAACAGCTTGAGTCCAGGAGTTAGAGGTTGCTATGAGCTGTGATGCCAAGACATTCTACCCAAGGCAACAGCTTGAGGCTCTGTTTAAAAAAAAAAATTAACAATAATATCTCAACATCTTCAAATATCTAGTGAGTGCTTCACAAATGTTCTTTTTCACTAGTTGTCAAATCAGTATCCAAATAAAGTCCACTGCAATGGGTTGTGTAACTCTTAAATCTGTTTTAATCTGTAAATTCTCCCATTTTTACTTTTAATAGTTATGTTTTAATATGTATTTAGCCTACACCACAAATATGACTTCATATCATTAATTACTGCTTCAAACAGGACTAAAGTAGGTATTTGAACTTTTAAAAAAAATGAATTCAATAAATAAAAAATATTAAGTTACTGAACAGTATTGGTAGATGTGACAAATTATCAATGTGATTATTAAGAGATTGGTTAAACATTACTTTAGAAAGTGGGCGCAGTAGCTCACGCCTGTAATCTCAGCACTCTGGGAGGCCGAGGTGGGTGGATTGCCTAAGCTCACAGGTTCCAGACCAGCCTGAGCCAGAGCAAGATCTCATTGCTTAAAAATAGCCGGGTGTTGTAGCAGGCGCCTGAAGTCCCAGCCACTCAGGAGGCTGAGACAAAAGAATCATTTAAGCCCAAGAGTTGGAGGTTGCTATGAGCTATGACATCACAACACTCTACCAAGGGCAACAAAGTGAGACTCTTCCACCCACCACAAAAAAAAAAAAAAATTTACTTTAGAAATTTTTTAAAAAAGAACAATTTCTAAACATACTAAATCTGAATATACCTACTTTTACAAAGGTCAAGAAAGAGTTCTTCAATTCCTTTGTTCTGTTTGGCTGAAGTATGATAATGTTTTGCTCCCACAGATTCTGCATACCTTAAAAAAAAAAAGTAACATCAGTGATTGATGTAAAAAATTTCATAATTTTGTCATGACTGCTATTTGAGATCTTTTATAGTAGCAATTTTAGTGACTTGTTAATTTACTCAAATTTAGTGAAATTACATTTAGATAGTTGTATAACCTTTCTATACCTTGAACTAAATTTTAAATGACGCAAATAAAATAGAACTTGAAATTGTTATAGATTAATTTGAAACCCAAATACTTTAGTAGTTGTTGTGACTCACTGTCCATTTGACTGTGATAGTTGTCATTTACATGAGTCTCGTATTTTTTTACTGAAATCACAAAGGGAAGTGAGGGTGAAATGTCTTTAAATATCATCCAACATTTAGAGATCACCAGGTAAACATGCTTCAATGAATCCAGTATCTTAATCTACATTGAAAGGTTTAAATAGTATCTAAATGGAAAAGGACAGAACACAGAGAAAGTCTTCTACTGCTGAGTGATGGGGGGGGTACAACACTTACGATTCTGCTTCTTGAGTGGAAACATGTCTCTCCTTTTCCAAGTCTATTTTATTACCTAATTTGAAAAAAGTAAATACTAACCTTTAATACTGATTCATTTTTATGATAAAGTTAAGCAAATTCTAAAATAGAACCACCATTTAATTCCCTACAAAAATAACGACAAATCCCCATCAGATATGTCACCCTTATTATGTGAGGGTTAATCATGCCTCATCCTCCCTCAAAAGGCTCAAGATGTATCTTTCCTGAATTTGCAGATTCCATCAGAGAAAACTTTTCCAGAGAGATGGGCATTCCTCTTAGATTAAGGGTACATCAGGGACTAAAAGTCACTATGAAATCTAGGGGTAAAATTAAAATTCTTAGCCAAGTATAAATGGTCAAAAGTTAGAGAAAAATTTTCTATAGTCCCCAATCAACTTAGAGACAGTCAATAATCACATACAGCCATCTCAGTGTTTACTAAAATGTATTAGGCTAGCCCCTTGGATTCTAAGAGTATTTTGGCTTACTATATGATAAAAAACTGGTTAAAGTAAGAATTAAAATGTATGGACTTTTAAGTCCCTCACCACTATAGGAGGAAAAACTGTACTATTGGTTTAAAAGCAATTTTAGTGACTTATTATTAGAACTTCATGCATGGGCCAAGAGTGGTAGCTAACACCTGTAATCCTAGCACCCTGAGAGGCCAAGGCAGATGGATTGCGTGAGCTCACAAGTTCAAGACCAGCCTGAGAAAGAGCAAGGTCCTATCTCTAACTAAAAAATAGAAAAAAGAAAAAAAAAAAACAAACCTGAGGCCAGAGCACCACTGAATCCCAAGAGTTGGAGGTTGCTGTGAGCTGTGATTGACACCCTGACACTCTACCCAGATTCCGATTCAAAAAAATAAAAAAGAACTTAATGTATGTGTATCATGCAGATTTAAAATTATTAAAAATAAGGTTAGCTCTCCTTAAACAATGGAACCAAGCTAAGATCATGCTAAAATGCCATCAAAACAAAAATGAGGAAAGTGCAAAATGCAGACTGAATACAGATTCGAAGTTAAGATGAGTTGGCTGGACACAGAGTGCTATAGGTAATGAAGTCAACAGATAAGAAAGTACCCCAAGAAAGGACATTTCAAACTAACGTTTATTTATGCTGTTATGAGTCTTTTGGGGAAAGAAAAGAAACCTTATAAATAAGGTCATTTTAGTTTTGGGACCTTACAGAGTCTAGAAGACAATTTCAGATAAAGGATTGAGGTAAGAACCCACTGAAAGATACAAGTGCAAGTCCAGAGGCTCTGCATTTTGAGAACCTCAAATAATCTAGGCATATGATTGCTGGCAGCTGAGAGAAACTATCTGCCACCATAGCCTGAGGATAAGAGAGGGAGGGACACAGGCAATATTAAAGCTCAATGGATACCAACAAATTTAGTAACAGACTATTTCTTCTTTGAAACTAGCTACCCACCTACCTCAGCAAAAAGTTTCACATAGGGCCGGCCACCACGCCTGTAAATCCTAGCACTCCAGGAGGCCCAGGTGAGTGGATTGACTGAGCTCATGGGTTTGAGACCAGCCTGAGCAAGAGCAAGACCCTGTCTCTAAAAATAGCCAAGCACTGTGGCAGGTGCCTGTAGTCCCAACTACTCGGGAAGCTGCAGCAAGAGAATCACTAGAGCCCAAGAGTATGAGGCTGCTGTGAACTATGATGCCAGGGCACTCTACCAAGGGCGACAAGTGAGACTGTCTCAAAACAAAAAGCTTCATATTAGTTCTGATTTCCTACATTGTATTTGTCATTAAAATTTTTAAATTGCTAAATATTATTAATATAAACAATATTATGTGTCTGACAGTAACCAGAGGAAAAACAAGTTGATTATTCTGCAAAGAATGCAAAAAGCACCACCTAGTGGCCAGTGGCTCCAACAGGCAGGCATAAGATTCTGCCTCTAAGGTAAAATTGGACAATCTCCTACAGATAAGCAATTAATTGGTTCCAATTAACTAAAACCCTATAGAATTTTTCTCCTGGATCTTCAATGCCTGTTTTTCAAATTATACTGGAATCAACCACACCTGTAAGAAGAGAGGCTAGGAAAAGTAGACACGTACCTTACTGAATCAAATGAATATTTAGGGAAAATTGTTCAGACATTGCTTTGTTATTTAACATTTTTAAACTTAACTAATTTTAATAAGTCAGGTTATTATAAAAAGAGCTATTTGGGGGCACAGCCTATGGCTCAGTAAGTAGGGCGACAGCCCCATATACTGAGGGTGGTGGGTTCAACCTGGCCTGGCCAAACCGCAACAAAAAATAGCCGTGC